TATAACAACAACTGCAAAAAATATCCAGACTTGTTTTTACTTGTTGCCTATTTTTTCAGTTTTTATTTATTTATTTACTTATTTTTTATGAATTGCAGATTTTTTTTTTCATATTGTAGCCTGTGTGGTCGTTGCAATGGATGGATGGAGAATCAATAAAATATAAAATGTCTTGAAGTGAAATATGAAATAAAATAATAAAAGAAGAAGATTAAGTAGAAAGCAGCTGTAAGTACAAAAACACAACCTCAGGGCCCGGGGCGTTTACAGTTCAAGAGTAAAGAGACTAAAAAGAATGAGGTCTGTATTTTACGTAACTCTGCATTCTGGTGGTGGCACACTCTGTCCCAGTGAGTTCTGCTGTTCCGACGACGACGAGGAGGAGGAGGAGGGAGGGAGGTGCACACAGAAAGAGAGGAGGGGGAGGTGTACGGAGAAAAACAAATGTACACACTCGTTCCTCGTTCCTCGACGCCTGTGTGTTCTACACGAGCCAACCTGAAAAGGAGAAGCTCAGTTTACACACTAAGACTTTTTATTTTTATTTTCCCTTTATTTATTTATTAATGTATTATTAATGTATTATTATTATTATTATTTTATTTTATTATTTATTTTTATTATTATTATTATTATTTATTATTATTATTATTATTATTATTATTATTTATTTATTGTTCTTTTCTCTGGAGAAAATGGGGGAGGGGGTTTTGGGGTGACGGGTGTGGTCACTTTACATTATTAATTACATATCTGTATTTGACATCTGCTCTATGTGAACAAAAAAGTGGAATAGCAAAGAAAGAAAGAAAGAAAGAAAGAATAAGAAGTTGAAACTGCAATAACTAAGAAATAATAATTAGATATGGTCCCAGCAGGACATTTGTGATTCAAAAAAACAGGTTATTGTGGAGTTTGAGAGTCGAGATGTGATCTGTGAACATTTCTATCATCTAAAATCGACATCATGAAATTGATTTTTAATCGTAACAGCAGAATGAGTCTGAGTGAACCAGTTCCTTCTGTTTTCTTCAGGATCAGAACATGAGTGGAGTTTGTTGTGTGACTCATGTGGCTCGTTGTTTCCTTTAAGTTTTGCTCTTTCGTCTCTTGATCGTTGTGGATGATGATAGTTGTGGAGCTTTTTGGTTGAAGATTTGGTGATGGGACAGATTTATAAAGCTGCTGGAAAAATGGGGGGGGGGATATATATATATATATCTCTCCAGACGTGAGATATAAAAAAAAATAACAAATATTAAATATCTACAACTTTAATGTCAAACTTCAGAAACTGGCAACGATGAAAACAAACCTCACAGGCTCAAGAAATCTGCAGGACTGAACCAGGACTGAACCAGGACTGAACCAGGACTGAACCAGGACTGAACCAGGACTGGACCAGGACTGAACCAGGACTAAACCGGGACTGAACCAGGACTGAACCGGGACTGAACCAGGACTGAACCAGGGACTGAACCCAGGACTGAACCAGGGACTAAACCAGGACTGAACCAGGACTAAACCAGGACTGAACCAGGACTGAACCAGGACTGGACCCAGGACTGGACTGAACCAGGACTGAACCAGGACTGAACCAGGACTGAACCAGGACTGGACCAGGACTGAACCAGGACTGAACCAGGACTGAACCAGGACTGAACCAGGACTAAACCGGGACTGAACCAGGACTGAGTGGGCGCCTGGTTGACCGCAGGAGAGACCAGCACAGAGCTCCTCACTGAAGTAAGAGCAGCTGTTGCCCAATCACGCTTCGCGGACTCCCAGACTCCACGGATTTGGGGTTCTCTCTCTCTCGCTCTCAAGTCCAAGACTAGTCCTGGTTTAGTCCTGGTTTAGTCCTGGTTTAGACCTGGTTTAGTCCTGGTTTAGTCCTGGTTTAGTCCTGGTTTAGTCCTGGTTTAGTCCTGGTTTAGTCCTGGTTTAGACCTGGTTTAGTCCTGTTGTTTTAGTCCTGTTTAGTTCCTGGTTTAGTCCTGGTTTAGACCTGTTTTAGTTGGTTTAGTCCTGGTTTAGTCCTGGTTTAGACCTGGTTTAGTCCTGGTTTAGTCCTGGTTTAGTCCTGGTTTAGACCTGGTTTAGTCTGTTTAGTCCTGTTTAGTCCTGGTTTAGTCCTGGTTTAGACCTGGTTTAGTCCTGGTTTAGACCTGGTTTAGTCCTGGTTTAGACTGGTTTAGACCTGGTTTAGTCCTGGTTTAGTCCTGGTTTAGACCTGGTTTAGTCCTGTTTAGACCTGGTTTAGTCCTGGTTTAGACCTGGTTTAGTCCTGGTTTAGACCTGGTTTAGTCCTGTTTTAGTCCATGTTTAGTCCGGTTTTAGTCCTGGTTTAGACCTGGTTTAGACCTGGTTTAGACCTGGTTTAGTCCTGGTTTAGTCCTGGTTTAGACCTGGTTTAGTCCTGGTTTAGTCCTGGTTTAGTCCTGGTTTAGACCCTGGTTTACCTGGTTTAGTCCTGGTTTAGTCCTGGTTTAGTCCTGGT